ATTTGGATGCCTCACTAATCTCATTATGGAGATCTCCCTCTTTATCTGCTCCACGAGGCTAACTTTCATAATTATCTCCTTATCAATCATCTTTATTGCAACGGAGTGACCAGAACTAAGATTACGAGCATAGTAAACCTTTCCAAAGGTCCCTTGCCCTAATTGTCTCCCAATTTCATACCGTTCCATCAACACACTCCTATCTTCCATTATATTAGCACCACGCCAAAATTAAAAATGGGTCTACAATCTACAGAGTGTTACTGACTGGCACATATCTCTGCATTTCCAGGTGAATCACTTTCAGTCTTCACCAAGATGCTACCGGAAAAATGAACAGGCCAAGAATGGAAGATTAGTCCAATGTCTATAACGCAAATGGCTGCATCACAAGTATTACACGAATCGGAAACATCAAGAAGACATTTTTTTAGACGCTACAATTGTGGATCGATGGCATCCAATTCCAGAAGAATCCAATTTTCTCACATCCGTGGAAAAATGCAGTACATTTGATTTAAAATCACTAACGATACAATGGGAAGGGAAGAGGTTTCCCATAGATTCAGTACATGGGGTGTAGCTGTGATCAAATATCAGAACTGAAGCTTCACCAAATGAGACAGCTACAACTGGAATCCATGATGGCTAGAAACTCCTCTGACATAGGACGGAAAAAAGAACTAAAGAGAATATATCTGTGCATGTGACAAAAATGGATGTCCAAATATCTTATGCGAGCAATTGAATCGCATCGGGATGCATATCTTGTTTTTGTGGCTCCTTCCAAGTAGTAGCAAAAAGCAATGTTCGATAGAAACATTGAAATACAGCGGTTCTTTTTTTTTCGACACATACAACATGAAATTTAATGTTGATGCATCATTTAAACCGTGCCTTTCTTCGACCATACCTTTCACCAAATAAACCTGATCGATCGAATCCAGTAGAGAGTGAAATGATGTCGAATGCATTCAAGTTGTGCAGATTTGGTGGCTCCTGATTTCTCTCAGAACTGATGCAGGTTGTTGGGCCAGAGAAAGGAGCCTCACTTGCACAACTCTTCTTTCCTGTTTCGCTGTTCAGTGCAGATATGGCGATAGGTTTCCTATACCAAGCACTTCTCTTTATCCTTGAGAAGTTGAGATAGACATCCTAGTACTAGGATCAGTATCAAGGATTCCATAAAGGAGCTCCTTCAACTCAACCGAAAAATGACGAGGGCATCTGTACTCAGCCTTTGTGATCTTCCTATACATTTCTATGAGATTTCAATGATGGAAAAGAAGATAATTGGCCACAAGTACAAACAGAATCACTCCACAAAACCACACATCTGCCTTTGAGCCACTGTAGCCTTTCCTACTAAGCACTTCTAGAGCAACATAAACTGGAGTTCCACATGCGGTGTGGAGAAGAGTATCTTGCCTCCTTGATTCGGCTAACGCACTTAATCCAAAGTCAGAAAATTTAAGAGTTTCAATCTTATCCAGCCACTCTACCAGTGGAATAAGAAGAGTGTTACTATGTTACCAACCACTCTGCTGAGAAAAGGCCAACATGCCATTATCAAACTTGGCGTTGGTCATATTTGCTGCTTCCGTTGAGATAGCCGCAATTTTCAGTACAACTTCCTACTAGTAGTTGGCCATCTTGATCACACTTGATTCACACCAAGTAGGGAGATTAAATGCACAACAGAACACCTTAACCTTGATACTTGGTAGCCTTGATTGCTTCTGTGCTTCACCTTCACTACATTGGACTGTCAATTCATCATTTGGCAGCTCGATAGAGTTTCCTTACATAACAGGCCAGCCGACACATTTTGCAGTGCTCAGAACTTGGGGGATGGGGAAGAAAGAAACATCAGAAATGATGAAGCTTCCATGTTACTCATTTATGCAAGAACTATAGATAAATTCTCTAATCTATGGCCCATGTCAATAGGACAAAACGTGCCTTCGATTTTATTGACATTCCATGATTTTAGCTTGGTTTGTGATGGGGATGGAGGGGAAAAAACAAAACATTCACAATTAGTCATGTCTTTTCCGTGTGGAGATGGTAAGTTGGCGACAGAGGTGCATGATGCAGCATGCAGTGACTACTGTTGATCACCTTGCAATGACCAAATAATATCCTTGAGTGATGGCCTAATGTCCTCTTTCACCTGCCTTTGATACTCCAATGTGTCACCATTGGTCTTCTTCAACTCAACGAAGAGAAAAGAAGGAGCAACCTCAGAAAAACCACTGCATCAAGCTCAAGTCTGCCTTTCCTTCCTTCCTTCGTCATGGGTAATTTAAGCACTCTATTGTCAGTTTTTGTACCTTTGAGTTTCAAGGCTTTGGTCAGTTCCTTCAGCTTCACAAGTACAGTAGCAACTGGCTTTCTAGATGTAAATCTTGCCTCTCTTCAGCCATACCTTTCACCAAATAAACCTGATAGATCGAACCCAATAGAGAGAGATGATTTCAAATGCATCAAGTTGTGCAGGTTTGGTGGCTCTTGATTTCTCCTAGAACTGATGCAAGGAGCCTCACTTATACAACTCTTCTTTCCTGTTTCGCTGTTCAGTGCAGATATGGAGATGGGCTACCTATACCAAGCACTTCTCTTTATCCTTGAGATAGACATCCTAGTACTAGGATCAAGATCAAGGATTCCATAAAGGAGCTCCTTCAGCTCAGCCTAAAAATGACGAGGGTATTTGTACTCAGCCTTTGTGATATTCCTACACATTTCTATGAGATTTCTATCATGGAAAGGAAGATAATTTGCCACAAGCACAAACAAAATCACTCCACAAGACCACACATTTGCCTTTGAGCCATTGTTGCCTTTCCTACTGAGCACCTCTGGAGCAACATAAGCTGGAGTTCCACATGCGGTGTGGAGAAGACCATCAAGCCTCCTTGATTCGGCTAACGCTCTTAATCCAAAGTCAAATACTTTAAGATTTTCATTCTCATCTTGCAGTAAGTTTTCCGACTTCAAGTCACTTTGATAAACACCTCCGTTGTGGCAATATCATCGTTAGCCGAGGTGTTTATCATCCAAGAATGATACTCTTAAAGTCACACCCGAGGTGTTTATCATCGTGACTTGAAGCCGGAAAACTTATTGCTGGATGAGAATGAAACTCTTAAAGTCTCTGACTTTGGATTATTTGCGCTAGCCGAATCAAGGAGGCAAGATGGTCTTTTCCACACCGCATGTGGAACTCCAGCTTATGTTGCTCTAGAAGTGCTTAGTAGGAAAGGCTACAATGGCTCAATGGCAGATGTGTGGTCTTGTGGAGTGATTTTGTTTGTGCTTGTGGCCAATTATCTTCCTTTCCAATATGTATAGGAAGATTGCAAAGGCTGAGTATAGATGCCCTCATCATTTTTCAGCTGAGCTGAAGGAGCTCCTTTATGGAATCCTTGATACTGATCCTAGTACTAGGATGTCTATCTCAAGGATAAAGAGAAGTGCTTGGTATAGGAAACCCATCGCCATATCTGTACTAAATAGCGAAATAGGAAAGAATAGTTGTACAAGTGAGGCTCCTTTCTCTGGCCCAACAACCTGCATCAGTTCTGAGAGAAATCAAGAGCCACCAAACCTGCACAAGTTGAATGCATTTGACATCATTTCTCTCTCTACTAGATTCGATCTATCTGTTTTATTTGGTGAAAGGTATGGTCAAAGAGAGGCACGGTTTAAATCCAGAAAGCCAGCTACAATTGTACTTGTGAAGCTGAAGGAACTGGCCAAAGCCTTGAAGCTCAAAGTTACAAAAACTGACAATGGAGTGCTTAAATTAGCCACGATGAAGGAATGAAGGAAGGGCAGACTTGAGCTTGATGCAGAGGTTTCTGATGTTGCTCCTTCTTTTATCCTAGTTGAGTTGAAGAAGACCAATGGTGACACATTTGAGTATCAAAGGCTGATGTAAGAGGACATTAGGCCATCACTCAAGGATATTATTTAGACATGGCAAGGTGATCAACAGTAGTCACAGCATGCTGCATCGTGCACCTATGTCGCCACCTTAACTTCTCCACAGTGAAAAGACATGAGTAATTTTGAATGTTTTTTTCCTTCTATATCCATCACAAACCAAGCTAGAATGATGGAATGTCAATAAAATCGAAGGCACGTTTTGTCCTAGTGACATTGGCCATAGATTAGAGAATTTATTTGTAGTTCTTACATAAATGATTAGATTGCTTGGTTTGTATTTTACTTAGAGAGCAAATTTTTGAAGATTATCTTTTGAATTTTTAAGGATGACTTTTTTTTCTTAAAGACATACTTCCTCCTTACCATAAAAAACATCTTCTGGGAAAAAACCTGGACAAATACGCATTTGTCTAGATTTATCCCTAGAAGTTTGTTTTTTTAGGACGGAGGGTGTTGTTCTCTAACAGATAAATTGTTAATTTTACTCACGTGTTAATTAGTGGGTGGTAACAGATATATTACTGTCACCATCACCATTGGAGCCTTTTAAAGTACTTTATCCGTTTCATAATGTAAGACTTTCTAACATTGTTCATATTCATTTAAATGTTAATGAATCTAGACATATGTATGTGTTTAGATTCATTAACATCTATATGTATGTGGGTAATGCTAAAAATTCTTACATTGTAAAACGGAGGAAGTATATAGATTATAAATATTCATTTGACATCTCCAACAAAATATATAACCAGATCAATCTTTTACGCCATCACTAGACCTTATGAGAACACAATGATTTATACTGCATATTTTTATCTCACCACTCCAGCAAATATTTTTTTTGCCGGCCCCATCCTGATTTCATCAGGAAACAATCGATCTGATTCTCATTATCTTATATGACAATCACGTGAAAACCGGGCCTCCCAAACATCGTGTCATATGCTGCTCAAAACAAGATTGCATGTCAACAACATGTGCAAAATACATATATATAAGCCGCAATGGCCGGGCACGTATGGCGTACACGCTCGCGCTCTCCATCTCTGTTTCTAGAACCAAAAAACAAGGAGATATATAGAGATCGAGATCAGAGAGTACTTAGGTGAACGACTGAAATGCAGCTACCCTACGCCGTACTTTGTGCTCGCCGATATTAAATTTGACCGTCTCGTCTCCTACATAGCTCAGGGGGGGGAGCTGCACCTGCACTCCCAGTTGTGACGCAGCTACAGTCGCCGAGAGCAAGACGAAAGGCAAGCACGCGCACCCACCCACACACGGGCGCGCGCACGTACAAAGCCCCTCGTCTCCGTGTCTTCTTCCTCCCCGCGCCTGCAACAAACCGGCCAGCCCAGCCAGCCGGTCGGCCGCTTCCGCCATCACCTTTGCCATTTTGCTGATCTCGATCTCTTCCTTCCTCAGCCACTAGCTGGCTTACTACCACTCCAAAGGGTGGAAGTGGAAGCTAGGGAGAGCTAGCTAGCTCGTTTTCTTAACTTCTAGCTAGCTGATGATGCCGGCCTGCGGCATGGGGTCGTCGAGACGGCCGAGGAGATGGAGCGGCGGATCCAAACTCGCCGTCGCATGCCTCGCGGCGGTTGCGGTGACCTCCCTGCAGCTGTGCTGCCTCTCCGGCTGCTTCATCGCTGCGTGCGGCGGCGCCGGCAGGGACGACGACGACGTGCGCCGTTACTCCGGTAAGCATATGCTGTGTGAGATGTAGCTAGCACTTGAGAGTTGAGAGCTGATTCTTGGCAGCTCTCCTGCTCTTTGCGTGCAAAGATTCTGTACTAGCTAGAAAGCGAGTTTTTTGGTGTTTGGTGTATCTCCTTTGGCTGCAGAATCAAGTATCAACTGATCTCTGCGGATCTGAGAGAAGAACCCCACTAGAGATATGTTGATGCTTGTGCTGCTGCACAGAACTCTACGTCTTTTTAGCACGTTTTGGCGATAGGAGTTAACTCGTTTCAGTTGCCTCTCGCTGAACAGATCATTTCGGGAGGCTGGAAGGAGCAGGAGCCCATTCCGGCGACCTTCTGGTGAGTTCTGCATCTCCCCTACTAGCTAAAGAGCAGCGGTAGTAGCAGAAAACCACCGTGTCAGTCTCCTCACAGGCTAGGCATCTTGCACTGTGCTTCGCTAGTCGTTTGACGCCAGCAGCTGAATAGCTGATGATACACTACATGCTGATGACGAGTCAAATCACACGACTGAAAGTTTCAAACAGATCCCTATCATATACTCCATCCTCCACCCGTACGTCTTAAAATATACTCCCTCTATCTTGGAACATAGCAATCTAGAATCGAATTGGACATATTCTAGTACTACGAATCCAGACAGGGGGAAAGGGCATATCCAGTTTCGTATTACTAGAATATATTCCATCCGATTCTAGGTTACTATATTCTAAAATAGAGGGAGTAGCAACTTAGGATGTGTCTCAATCTTATAACTATGAATGTGAACATCAGTTCATGTAGATTCATCTATAGATGCTTATACATATGCAAAGATCTCAATGGTCCCTGCACAACCATCAACACGAGCAGCACGGCGAATCTCAGCTGCTCACGACGACGGCGGTGGCCTGGCCGGCGCATAGATCGACGACGCATATGGCTGGTTAAATTAACTGGTGTTGCGTGTGTGCATGCAGGAAGGTGGTGGTCACTACCACGTCGGGTTGGGGCGTCGGCTGCTGTCGGGAGGGCCAGGGTCGCACCCGCCGCGGTGCACGTCCAAGTGCGGCAGCTGCAGCCCGTGCTCCCCCGTGCACGTGTCCGTCCCCCCCGGCGTCCTCGTCACCACCGAGTACTACCCCGAGGCCTGGCGCTGCAAGTGCCGCAACCGCCTCTACATGCCGTGACGACTCCACACCCCCCACCCCTCTACGTACGCCGTCTCGATCCAACCGCACGAGACCACCGAGATGGCGCCGTGACACAACAGGTAGGCGCACCGTCCGCCCGTCGTCTCTGCCGCTGCATCATCGCGTCCGGTGCGGCATGCCTCTCTTTCTCTCTCTTTCTCTCGCCGTCTCGCGCGCGCGCGTGGGGGCATGCGTGCATGGGTGGTGCAGGTGGGGCGCGGGGCGCGTGACGGATGGTGGCGCGGTGGACTGGCCTACCACGCGCGCGCGGTGGCACGGCGCATGCACGGCGGCAGCTGGGGGGGCCGGGGCCTGGGCCAGCGTGATCGTCTCTGAAAACTGTGGCATTGCAGTGTGGCTTTTGGTTGGGCCTACCACGAGGCGATGGCGCAGAGGAGAGATGAGGAGGAAAGCTGCTGCCCCCAGGCGCCTCTTCATGTGATCCCTGCGCACATCATTCTTGGCTACCTAGTGAAAAACTGAAAAACACAGTACCACCACCGGCCGAGTCCCTTTGCCATGTTATACATATATATATCTCCCCTTTTTTTTTTCACTCCTAGTTATCTCCCGGTGCTTTCAGTTCTCGCATCATGCCTGCACGGGGCATGCAACAGATCGATCAAGTGTACATTTCTCATTTGTAACAAGACTCATCGTCGTCTATCATATAGTCCGATTGTAATGTTTGAATATGTGCGCGAAAACATGGGCATGAGTCCTCGTGCCACGACATGTCCTGCAGCTGTGCAGCAGCAGGCAGCACACACACAGCAGGTCAGCTGCAGCAGCCATGGCTGCTGATCTGCAGACATTTGGTGCGTTGCTGGTGAGTTTTACTGAGCTCACACACATGGACGCAGGCCGAATTGGCACCACACGCACGTACGGTTGGCCCTGTGAAGTGGGCAGCGCGTGTGTTGCGCAGCGGAGTTCACCACCGCCCGAGTTAAAAACCTCTCCCGAAGCGGTAAAAACCTGGGGAACTCACGCTCCCACAGTGGCGCTCCCTGTTCATGGACCTAACCCCGGTGGCACCAGCCGGCCGCCGACCCGTCCAACCATCAACAGTGTAGACGAATAGTCACGGCCTGATGGTACCATGCCTGATTTATGCATTCACCAACAGTGTGATTGTGCAGTGTTCCTGGCCCTTTTTTTTCTCTCTCTCTGGATCGAGAGGTCGTCCAGACACAGTGACACAGTGTGTCATGTGGCTGTGTGTGACTGCTAAATGGGCCTAAACACGGAGACGTGGAGTTGGGCCTTGAAGAACAAGGCCTCTCTATGTGGGCCTATTCGATTGGATTGTTAGATGGGCCTAGTGGAGCCCATCGGCATCCCATCCCACACATGATGTGGCGAGATGCAGAAATACCCAAAAGTGGAGGGGCCAATCCGGAAAAACGCCTCTGCCCCTGCCTCTGCCTGTTCGTCCCCACATCGCCGCGGCGACCCGCTCGACGCCGACGAGCGGCGACTGGCACGAGGAGGGAGCCGATCAGCCGAATTTGGAGCAGAAGCCCTCATCCTCGCCGAGGGCGAGCAGGCCAGCCGCCGTGTAATGCAGGGTGAGAAGAGGGCATATCCTCCCCGACCGTGATGCAGAGAATCATCGCCCTCCGCTTGCCGCGCGGCCGGATCGAGTCGAATGGAGTCCGGTGCTCGGAGCCTCGGATCTGCCTCGATCAGCAGCTGAGTCGGTGAGTCTAATTCGATTGTGATCTGTCATGCTAGTCTCCGTTGAGGGATCTGTTGTTGGATTGTTGCCGGCTTCACTCGATTTGATTCGAGTTCTTGTTGATTGGGAACTTCTCTTTAGTTTTTCTGTTGCGAGATTAACGGTTTTTCTCCTTGGGTTGTGTCCCATAAAATCTCACGGCCAAAGTGCCACCAGAACAGAAAACAAACTCAAAGGAAGGTATACTCAATATGAAAAAAAAAATGATGCATAAGCATTAAATTTCATGCCGTATGTGTCGACAAAAGAACAGTTTATTTCAGTGTTTCTATCGAGCATTGCTTTTCGCTGCTACTTGGAAGGAGCCAAAAAACAATATATGCATCCCGATGCGATTCAATTGCTCGCATCAAATATTTGGACATCCATTTTTGTCACAAACACAGATATATTCTCTTCAGTTCTTTTTTCCGTCCTATGTCAGAGGAGTTTCTAGCCATCATAGATTGCAGTTGTAGCTGTCTCGTTCGGTGAAGCTTCAGTTCTGATATTTGATCGCAGCTACACCCCATGTACTGAATCTATGGGAAACCTCTTCCCTTCCTATTGTATCGTTAGTGATTTTAAATCAAATGTATTGCATTTTTCCGCGGATGCGAGAAAATTGGATTCTTCTGGAATTAGATGCCATCGATCCACAATTGTAACGTCTAAAAAAATGTCTTCTTGATGTTCCCAGTTCGTATAATACCTGTGATGCAGCCATTTGCGTTATAGATGTTGGACTAATCTTCCATTCTTGGCCTGTTCATTTTGCAGGTAGCATCTTGGTGAAGACTGAAAGTGATTCACCTGGAAATGCAGAGATATGTGCCAGTCAGTAACACTCTATAGATAGTAGACCCATTTTTAATTTCAGCGCGGTGCTGATATAATGGAAGAGAGGAGTGTGTTGATGGAACGGTATGTAATTGGGAGACAATTGGGGCAAGGAACCTTTGGAAAGGTTTATTATGCTCGTAATCTTAGTTCTGGTCAGTCTGTTGCGATAAAGATGATTGATAAGGAGAAGATCTTGAAGGTTGGCCTCATGGAGCAGATAAAGAGGGAGATCTCGATAATGAGATTGGTGAGGCATCCAAATGTTCTCCAGCTCTTCGAGGTAATGGCTACCAAGAGCAATATTTACTTTGCTTTAGAGTATGCTAAGGGTGGCGAGCTTTTCCACAAAATGGCCAGAGCAAAGCTCAATGAGGAGTCTGCGAGAAATTATTTTCAACAGTTGATCTCTGCAATGGACTATTGCCATAGCCGAGGTGTTTATCATCGTGACTTGAAGCCGGAAAACTTACTACTGGATGAGAATGAAACCCTTAAAGTCTCTGACTTTGGATTAAGTGCGTTAGCTGAATCAAGGAGACAAGATGGTCTTCTCCACACCGCATGTGGAACTCCAGCTTATGTTGCTCCAGAAGTGCTTAGTAGGAAAGGCTATAGTGGCTCAAAGGCGGATGTGTGGTCTTGTGGAGTGATTCTGTTTGTGCTTGTGGCCAATTATCTTCCTTTCCATGATAGAAATATCATACAAATGTATAGGAAGATCGCAAAGGCTGAGTATAGATGCCCTCGTCATTTTTCAGCTGAGCTAAAGGAGCTCCTTTATGGAATCCTTGATCCTGATCCTAGTACTAGGATGTCTATCTCAAGGATAAAGAGAAGTGCTTGGTACAGGAAACCCATCGCCATATCTGCATTGAACAACGAAACAGGAAAGAAGAGTTGTACAAGTGAGGCTCCTTTCTCTGGCCCAACAATCTGCATCAGTTCTGAGAGAAATCAAGAGCCACCAAACCTACACAACTTGAATGCATTTGACATCATTTCTCTCTCTACTGGATTCGATCTATCAGGTTTATTTGGTGAAAGATATGGCCGAAGAGAGTCACTGTTTACATCCAGAAAGCCAGCTGCAGCTGTACTTGTGAAGCTGAAGGAACTGGCCAAAGCCTTGAATCTCAAAGTTACAAAAACTGACAATGGAGTGCTTAAATTGGCTACGACGAAGGAAGGAAGGAAGGGCAGACTTGAGCTTGATGCAGAGGTTTCTGAGGTTGCTCCTTTTCTCTTAGTTGAGTTGAAGAAAACTAATGGTGACACATTGGAGTATCAAAGGATGATGAAAGAGGACATTAGGCCATCACTCAAGGATATTATTTGGACATGGCAAGGTGATCAACAGTAGTCACAGCATGCTGCATCATGCACCTCTATCACCAACTTACCATCTCCACAAAGAAAAAATAGGACTAATTGTGAATGTTTTGTTTTATTCCCCTCAATGTCCATCACAAACCAAGCTAGAATCATGGAATGTCAATAAAATCGAAGGCACGTTTTGTCCTATTGACATTGGCCATAGATTAAATAATTTATCTGTAGTTCTTACATAAATGAGTAACATTGCAGCTTCATCTTTCTTATCCATCCCCCCCCCCCTAAGGGAAGGGGGGAGGCATGTACAGAAGGTGTTGTATATTTTGTGCAGTTTTGAGCACTACAAAATGTGTCGGCTGGTCTGTTATGTCAGGAAACTCTATCGAGCTGCCAAATGATGAATTGACGGTCCAATGTAGTGAAGGTGAAGTACAGAAGCAATCAAGGCTACCAAGCATCAAGGTTAGGTGTTCTATTGTGCATTTAATCTCCCCACTTGTGTTAATCAAGTGTGGTCAAGATGGCCAACTACTAGTAGAAAATTGTATTGAAAATTGCGGCTATCTCAACGGAAGCAGCAAATCTGACCGATGTCAAGTTTGATAATGGCATGTTGGCCTTTTCTCAGCATAGTGGTTGGTAACACAATAACACTCTTCTTATTCCACTAGTAGAATTTTCTGGACAGGGTCACGGTTACTTATTCCACTAGTAGAACTTCCTGGTCATGGACTCATGGTCACGGAAACTGCAGTAAGAATGCAAGCAAAAATGGAATCAAAGGCGAGGCTTACAATGCAGATTGTGTCTCCAGGAGGTCTATTGGTAAGTCCACACACTCTACAGCTACTAACTAGACACCTCTCACTTTTTCTGTTGTGATGATAGTAGAGGCCTTCACTTCAGCTCACCTGATTTAAAAGGAATCCAGATTTACGCATTGCGTGCAGAAGGAATGAAATAATTTATAAGCTAACTTAATTAGTACTGTATTTATTTCTCAATGCAAAACTGAGAATCCTTCCGTGTAGAGTGTCAAATTGGGTGTAAAAGAACTATAGCACCAGTGCACATACGCCCAGTATATTACGAAGGGCAGCCTTCTAGACGGAGAACTGTCATTTCGTTCAGCCATCCCGTTTCTTTGAAATTTCAATAACTCTGCGGAGATCTGTACATGGTTTGCATTAGGAAGGTTGTTTTCATAGAAATTTCCTTGCACAACATTGCTAGAACCAGATTTTTTTTTCTTGAACTAGAGCCTGAGGTTCCCCATTTCTTTTACTATAAATGATCACATCATTACAGAGGTCTGTGCCAAATTGCTAGAGCCAGATGATCAGATGACTAAACTAATTGATAGGCTGGACCGCCGGAGATGTAAACTAATTGATAGGTTCCGTCCTAAAGAAAGGTTGGAAATGACTGACTAACCGCAAGCAAAACGAGAAATGGGATTAGTATACGATTAATCAAGTATTAATTATTAAAAATATTTAAAAGTAAATTTATTTGATTTTTTTTAAAATAAATTTATTTGATTTTTTAAAAGCAATTTCTACATAAAAGTTTTCACACGAAAATACATTGTTTAGCAACTTAAAAGGTGTACTAACGGAAATCGAGAAAGTAGTTAAGCCGATCCTCACTTTAAAACAGGCCGTTACACAACATTGTTTTCAACTTTTCTGCCTTCTCTTAGAAAGTTATGTACAAGGTACTATCTATTTTGTTCAGTTCTGATAAATGAAAAATGTGTTCAGCACTGAATGGCTGAATGCAGCTATGTTGATAAACTACAGAGTTGTTACAATGATGACTGGCATTTCTTGTGGGCTGGGGCTGCATGGTTGTTTTGTAAAATTATCTCTTAGTGTCTAAAGATTAACGTGCCGAGCTTTTGTGTGTTTTGAGAGGAAAGACATGACTTGGCAATCCCAAGGGATTATAAAGGGCACCTTGACTTAAGCTGAACTGTATTAAAAATTAGAGAACGTTGAAAAGGATCATACCATATAGGGCCTGGTATAGGGTCTTGTTTAGTTCCTAAATTTTTTTTCCTAAAAACATCACATCGAATCTTTGAACACATGCATAGAGTATTAAATATAGATAAAATGAAAAACTAATTACACAGTTTATATGGAAATCGCGAGACGAATCTTTTGAGCCTAATTAGTCCATGATTCACATGTGCTGATGACGGATTAATTAGGCTTAATAAATTTGTTTCGTGGTTTCCAGACGAGTTATGAAATTAGTTTTTAAGTTCGTGTCCGAAAACCTTTTCTAACATCCGGTCAAACGTCCGATGTGACACCTAAAAAAAATTTTTTCGTGAACTAAACAAGGGCAGTATATCAAAGTAAAAGATCCACTCTCTCCGTTCTCAAATATAACTATTTTTGGCTATACACATACACATAGATAAGTATCAACATAACCAAATAATAACAGAGATGGATTTTTTTTTTCTCTAGGGGACGTGCATCTGTTTTACACATGTCGTCTAAACTCTAAAAGTCATAAAGATAGATAACTATGATATGCTACTCCACAAGCACGTAAATTCAAATTCAGTCTATACAATTAGAAACAAAAATAAAAAAATGGTTGTAAAATTACGTGTTTTATTTGGAGTTAAATTTTTATTTTTCTTAGAGTTATATATCACATACTGAAAATTATTTATGACTTATTTTTTAGCGAGGGGCGTTCCCTCTAGGGATGAATAAACTTCTCCAATAACAATATATAGTGTGCCTTCTTTTTCTTCTAAAGCAAGGGGAAATTACTGTCAGGCAGGCATAATGGTCTGAACAGCAACCGCTGCAAAAACGCTATGGCAGCAGAATCCTCCATTTTTCTACTTTTCTTTCGTTTTTCCCTGCTATTTCTCTGAACCTTCTCGCGACGCGATGATCACCGTTTAGTTTGGCTATGTTTGCTATATAACCAAAGTTACAAACCAAACGGTGTCTTCACGAATACGGCAACGATCGAGAGCATCCATGGAAAACCAGCCACATGCACACCTCCTCCCGCAACGCAACGACACGCAGGTCGAGCGAGCCACCGCCTTCGGCAAGGAGGCCATCGGGATCACCGGCTCCGCCATCGTCGCCGGCGTCTCCGGCTACAAGGACATCGGCAAGGGCGCCGCTACCACCCTCCTGTTCAAGGCCGGCGGGTTCTCGCTGCTCGTCACGTTCGTCTCCGCCGTCGTGCTGATGCACTTCCAGATGCACCAGCCGCCCGCCGCCCCGCGCAGCCGCTGCGCCGACCTCTCGTCGGCGGTGCTCGTCTCGCTCACCGGCGTCCTCCTCGTCGCGACCAACGGGATGTTCGTCGCGCTCATGGACAGGGACAACGACACCATGCTCGTGATCCTTGTCCTCCCCGTCGTGCTCGTGCTCGGCATGCTCGCCGGCGCCGACCTGCCGCCGACGGAGGGGGCGGTCACGGCGGCCGCGGTGGCGCAGGACGAGGCCTACGAGGAGGCGATGAAGAGCAGCGCCGAGCTCGCGACGTTCGGCGCCACGGCGGCGTTCGCCATCGAAGGGGCTCTCATCCTGGGCTACCTCAAGTACCCCTCGTCGCTCGATGGCTGCGGCCGCTCGCCGCCGGCGCAGGTGGACCTCGCCGTGGCGTCCTTCGCCTCGACGGTGTCCGTGCTCGCCATGGCGGCCACCGCGCTGCCCGTGCGCACCCTGTTCCCGTCAGCCAGGGCGCGCGCCGTCGCGGTCGCCGGCCACCTCAACCGCGCGATGCTCGCCGCGCTCGTCTCGATGGCCACGATCCTCGCCGTCGAGTTCTTGCAGTGGTGGTTCATGCTCTCCCTCCTCCCGGAGGCCATCGCCGTCGCGCTCAACGTCGCCATCATGGCGTGGACGACCGAAGGCGGCGCAAACGTCGTCGACGGCAGCGTTGAGGCGGCGGCGGCAGCGGCATCGGCGGGGGCGAGAGAGAGGAGGGCGAAGGGGTTCAGGGCCGTGGCGACCACGAGCTTCACGCTCATGGCGGGCACGTACGCGGTGTACCTAGGGCAGAAGAAGTACGACGTGTACCTGAGGGCGGCCATGCTGGTGATGCTGACCGCCGTGGTGTCGAGCCTGAGGCAGATGCTGCGGCCGTTCGGGCGGTCGAGGGCGAGGGGTTGGTGGGCGGTGGCCGCCGGCGCGGTGTCGCTCGTCTTCCCCGGCCTCGCGTTGGTGATCGCCATCCCTTTGTTTGTCAAAATCTTTGTACATTTCTACTTCGGGCACGTTAATTAAGTAACGCTACTTGTAGAGTATACTAGTTATAGCGATCTCCATTTTTGCGTGGGATTTTGCTATTTTCTTTACCAGTCATTTTTGTCATCGATTCCAATACACGCATGATGAGACTCAAAATGGACCGGGTTTCAAGTAGGGTTTCAGAATGCGATCCGTTGGAAGTTGGAACAAAATCCAACAGAGACATGGTTTAGTTTTCAACTTTTTCTTCAAACTTCCTACTTTTCTATCACATCAAAACTTTCCTACACACATAAACTTCTAACTTTTCCGTCACATCATTCCAATTTCAACCAAACATCCAATTTTGACGTAAACTAAATACACCCAGAGATTGATGAGAGTCTAGAGTGAAAACGAGATTGCTCTATTTCTGTTTCTTCTGCCTCCTTCGGGAAGCGGAATACACTTATATAGCCCCATGAATCGTATGGAATGTTACAAGGGCACCCCAACTGGCAGGTGGCCCTAGCCCTTGGGGCAGAATGGTAAAAACCTAGGAGATCAAGCCCAATTAATTCAGGCATTCGGAAACCCGTGGATCTTGTGTGTGACCAGTCAGGCTAATGCATGCCCCTAAAGTTGCCTCATCATCCGCCCCACCTGCGCCCTGTGGCGGAGTGTGTCAGCTGGTTGGTGAGGTATTGAATGCGTTGTGGTAGGTCGGGTCTTCTCACATTAATTCTCTTCAGAGGTTGTCTCCGGCCTTTTCTTCTCAGCTCTTCGCCTGCCCTCTAGAATCCGTTGGCCACGATCTTGTCCGGCCTCCGAAGGTCCAGTTAGTCCACGCTTCAGACATCTTCGGAGCCCCCTCAAAAGGGCCGCGCTCCTCCCCGTCGGTCCTCCGAGAGACCCTGTGGAGCCACCTCCCGAGTTTTGTACGGAGGGGGCTTCTCTTTTCTTCTAAGCGTCTATGTAAAATTTGATGATTTGACAATTTATTTGTTACCATTTTCATTGTATTGGCACTCGACGATATGTGGAGCCATATGAGCCAATAACAATGGACCAGGATGCCAAATAATCGA